GCGTGGAGGCTCGTCCAGGTGTTCGCCGAATCCATCTTGAAAAAGAAGGAGGAAGCTGAACGCCTGAGACAGAGGCAGCCGCGCCGCCCGGTACAGGAGGACCTAAGGCGCTGGTTTAGGCCGGCGCCTTAGGTACTAGTGTTTATATGTTTTATGTTTTTGTGAGTTATTTTTGCCCCTTCGCTTTTAACGGAGGAGGCCACACCACGTTGTGAATCAGCTCTTGATTAATTTCGGGCTGATTCACAACGTGGTGGTGTGAGTTTTAGAGACGGCGTGGGCCGCCCTGAAGTAATACCTCACGGTAGTTCCAGGGCGGTCCACAGTTGCGCCGGTCGGAGTAAAAAAAAGGGGGTAGCGTTTATGCGCTTTAAAATCTATTCTCTCTCTTTTTGGATCGCCTACCTGTCTACAAGTGGTTTCTTTCCGTATTGTGAAGTTGTACTTTATTAATGTCCAAGTTCATTTATTGTCTCTCCAACATTGTTTTGCCATCTTGTTGATTATTTTGTAATAGTCATACACAATTATATGGTAATCTTTAGGAAACTTTGCTTAAACACAAATTTCCTAACTTAAATTCTTAAATCAAGTTTTAGAAACCTCGTGGTTGATTTCAGGTTTCTTACCATGTAGTTTAGAAATATCTTACACTTTTTTAAATCAAATAAATATTAATTACTTGATTTGTCTAATTCATTATTTTTGAAATAATTATATTAAAATTTTAGTTGTAAACAGCATAGTTTAAGTATATTTAATTCATTATAAATTTTACTTTATGCATGTTGCTTGTGATTTATGCCAGTTTGGATTAATGCCTGGTAAGTCAACAATGGAGCCAGTATTTTGTGCGAGGCAACTTATAAAAAAGTTTAGGGAAAAGAAGAAAAAGCTGTGTATGGTATTTATAGATTTGGAGAAAGCGTATGACACAGTACCGAAAGAGGTTTTAAAGTGAGCATTTATAAGAAAAGGAGTCCCGAAAAGGTACATTAATATAATAGAATATATGAATTACGGTACAAGTACCAGGGTAAAAAGCGTAGGAGTAGTATCAGGTTTTCGGGTAAGAGTAGGAGTGCACCAAGGTTCTGCTTTAAGCCCTTACTTATTCTCTATAATGATGGATGAAATTACTAGATAAATACAAGGAAAGATGCCGTGGTGACGATATAGTGTTAATAGGAGGAAATAGGGAGAAAATTATCCAAAGGGTTTAAGAATAAATAGAAGTAAGACAGATTGTACAGAGTACGCGTTTGGCAAAGGAGAACACGATGTAGGTGAAATGAGTAGGTCAGTGGCAATATGCGTGGATGTGATTGGAGAGGTGGAGAGTTTTAAATATTTAGGGTCAGTTGTGCAAAAGAGTGGTGGTATTGACTAGAATCTAAGACACAGAATTAAATGCGGATGGTTGTAGTGGAGAGAAGCGTCTAGCGTCTTATATGATATAAGAATTCCAATGAGGCTGAAAGGTAAATTCTACAAGACTGTAATAAGGCCAGCTATGATATATGGTTCAGAGCGTGAACCATTTATCATAGCCCAAGAGTGTTGGGCGGTTGATAAGAAAGTAGAGCAGAGAATGAGTGTAGCAGAGATGAGAATGCTTAGATGGATGAGTGGATTGACTAGAAAAGATAGAATGAGGAACAAGCATATAAGAGGGAGTATAGGTATAGCGTCAATCGTGGATAAGATAAGAGAAAATAGACTTACATGGTTTGGTCATATTATGAGGAAAGAAGAATCGAAAGCTGTAAAAACAGTTATGGAAATGAATGTTGAAGGAAGAAGTGGTAGAGGAAAACCAAAAAAGAGATAGAGGGATGCTATTGAATACGATATGAGGACAGCTGATGTGAGCGTAGATGATGTGGGAGATTGTGTCAAGTGGAATTTAGAGTTTGGGTTAACGGTGGTCGACCCCAAATAGTTGGGATAAAGGCGAGGAAGAAGAAGAATGCATGTTGCTTGTGAACTCAATATAAGATTGTAAGTTATTACTCATTACATTAGTCTATTTAATATAATTAAATTTTTAATTGTATTACTAGTTTTTAAATAGTAATTTGGTTATCATTTTAAAGTAATGCATGTTTGTTTTCTAGTAAATAAAATCAACCTTTTCACTTGTAATCATAGAAATAACTGTGTTTGTCTTTAATTTAGTTATCTAACTAGTTGGTGTCAATAGAATAAAAATATTTACTTGTACTCATAGAAATAAATTAGTCATATCTTTCGTTAACTTTCTATCTAGCTGTTGTCATTTATCTATATACAGTCCACTAAAAGCATACAAAATATTTTAGTCATTTCACCAGTGCCAAATATTGATTTACTTGTAATAATGATACACTTGTTCAATTAGAGTTTGAGTTCAATCAAACGATTAAATTTAAATACTCAATTAGTCTATCGGTCAATGTAGTGCGTCTACATATGTAAAAAAATATACTTTTTTGGTGTTACAATTCTTGGTAAAGTATTTTAATATACATTAAAATGGGAGTACACTGATTTTTTTTTATATTATATAAAATGAATTGACAAAGAAAATAAAAAATTAACTTTGAAATTTGAACTAGTTTAAATTGCCATTTTTATCAAACGACGAATGTTTTTGCAATTATCCACCAATTTTTTAGAATTCAACACTATCTACAGATTTACATTGAAACGTTTCTTATGATAGTGATTTTAATCACTGTCAGATATCATCTATACTTGTCCCAACTATGCCATGCTCACACTATGCCGCTATCCCACTATGCTGCCGTTTTTATTTTATAAATCAAGGAGCACAAAATTATTGTCTTTGAATAACAATATGATAATTTGTAAAATATGTGATGTGTGTTTGTGGGGCCACCTCCCAAAATCCCTCCTCCTCTCTTATCACATAAAAATTGGAACCTCCTCCTCCCACTTATTAAAAAAACGCGTTATAGTTATAGGATAGTGTAATAAGTGTTTATCAGTGAAGCTATTTTGATAACAGATAATATACACTGGCGGCCAAAATTATTAGATCACCAAAGAAATTCGAATTAAAATTTCTGTCGATAATTTTTTGCAGGTGAATTATTTTTTCTTTGAATCTACAGCAATCATGTTTGTTAACTAAACTTCATTTCAAGTTTTTTTTTATCGCAGTTTCTTTACCTGTAATAAAGAATTATCAGTTTGAATATTTTCAGGTCAGTTTTAATTTTACCTTAAACGGTTAAACACTGATTTTGTTTTCCTTATTTTTCTTTAAAACTTAAAAATGAATGTTCACGGTCGAGTTAGACATGCATCATTGGAGGATTGTGTTAGGGCGTTAACATTAATGGAGGAAGGTCGTAGTCAGCGATATATCGCAGAAAGGCTTGGCGTGACCCAATCTGCAATTTCTTATGTTCTAAGAAGACATAGAGAGAATGGTAATCATCAGAGAAGACCAGGTCAGGGTCGTAGACGCGTTACCAATGCCGCCCAGGATCGCTACATGGTTCAACAAGTTCTTCGAAACCGGACATTAACAGCTCCTGAGGTGCAAAATTCGGCTAGAAGGACTTATGGAATCCAAATCAGCTCAAGAACGATAAGAAGACGCTTAAGGGAAAGAAACCTGACGTCACGGATCCCTGCTAGAGGGCCGCGTTTGACCGTAGGGCATCGGAGGAACAGACTTCAATTTGCAAGAATGCATGTTAATTGGGAGCCGGCCGATTGGAATCGAGTTTTGTTTACCGACGAGTCAAGATTTTCCCTGTACCATTCAGATAGACGCGTTCGAGTTTATCGGAGACCTGGAGAACGGTACGCACAGTGCAACTTCATTGAAGACATTCGTCATGGTGGAGGCAGTGTTATGTTTTGGGGAGGCATCTCTTTGGGAGGACGTACGGAGCTCGTGGCGCTTCGGAGGGGTAATATTAATGCTGTCCGATACATGTCGGACATTCTTGAACCTCATGTAGTGCCATATGTTGAAAACTTTGGTGCTGGCTTCATTTTTATGCAAGATAATGCACGGCCACACACAGCTCGGGTGACACAAGATTTTCTTCGTCGTGAAAATATTGAGACCATGAATTGGCCAGCTAATAGTCCTGACCTAAACCCCATTGAACATGTATGGGACATGATCGGAAGGCGATTTAGAGCGCTCCCAAATCCTCCGAGCGACCTTGACGGGCTTACTAATGCCATTTCAGAGATTTGGAACAACATCGATCAAGGGGACATAAGGGAGCTTATTTTAAGCATGAGGCGACGGTGTGAAGCTGTCATACGAGCGAGGGGTGGCAACACTAGGTATTGAGAGTTTTTTTCATGGGTGAACTAAAATTTCGTTTTTCAGGATTTTGTTATTTTTTTAGTGAAAGTTTATTTTTGTTATTTTTTTACAATGGAATGGCGTATAATAAGATAATCGGAGTTTTTTTATATTCCTTACTCAAAACCAACAAGATATCAAATCTTATTTGAAAAAAATCTTAAAGTTATTGTGTGATCTAATAATTTTGGCCGCCAGTGTATATTATTTAGCGCCTCTCTTATATTTATTATGATCTAATGTACGACAGTACTGTTATTTGAGGAGTGTTACCTCCTCATTTTTTACATTTAAACGCCTGAAAGCAGCACCTCCTCCTCCCACCAATATTTATTAGTTAATATTTAAATGTATATGGTGTATAAAAATTCATACATCATATGCATATTGTTATACTTCTATTCGAACTGTGTACTGAAAATTTATTGTTAGTGAAGTTATGACAGTTAAACGGTCAAATATTTGTAGAAAACATTATCGATAATATTACGAAGTCAGTTGATAAAAAAGTAAGTATTTTCATGTTTATTTCTATAAAATGTCAATGTGACACATTTTTTTATAAATGTATTAATATACTTTAGATGAACGTTATTAATAAAGATTGGTTAAATGGGATGAAAATTAAACACAGAAAGAATGTATCTGATCTTAAAGTAGGAGTTCAGTACAAGGTTTTGGGTTTGTACGTGATGAGATCAAAATATTCTAATGAAACACTAGTGGCTGAGGTGAAGCTTGACGACGAACCATCATTTCAAATTTATTTGCCAGCGAGGTTTTCATTTACTCGAGAATATCTGGCAAAAGGAGTCGATAAAGATCTTAAGATTGTATCTAATGGACGAAAAGATCAAAGTTCGAGTTATGACATAAAGTATATATGAATTAATTTTGTGCTTGAAAAAAATGAAAATAAAAAATATTGATAATTAAAAATTGTATTACATATAATTTAATCTCCAATGAAAATTTTAAGAATAGTTATGGGTAAAATAAACAAACGCATGTATTTTAAATTATAATGTGTAAACTAAAAAAAAATATCCCACCGTTAAAAGTATATACATGAAAAGAAAAATGAGTGTGAAAGTAATTACTTGAAATAATAATTTGCAAACTTAATGTCTACAAAGTACAGATAAGAGTAAAAAAGAGTAATGTATACGTCTATAATACGACATCAGTAAAATAACTTGATGAAAAAGAGTATATATAAAGGTGTATTAAGCGTGTGAAAACGTCTATTAAATAAAAACTTCTTGGAAAATCATCTCCAGCCTGAGGACTGCTGCACGTTGGCATAAAATGTGCTGAGGTTTACAAAATGAAGTACATAAAACCAAGAAAAACTCTCCTTTCTGGTTTAATAGTATTTCATTTGTTTAATCGACACCTTAGAGTCTTCTCTATTTCAATATCATAATCATCATTATGTGTTATTTGTGTGATACTTGTGGAATGAAGTTCAATTTTTTGAAATCATTGATACGTCATGAGCAAACAGTACACAACAAAATTTTATATGGCTGCAGCTAGTGTTCGAAAAAATTTTCGAGAAAAGATAATTTCTCAAGACATGTCAGCATACACACGGGTTAATAGGTTAGTATTGTAATATTTAAATCTCAAAAATTTATTTTTTATTAAAAATGTAATTAATAGGAACTGATAAAGTATTGAAAATGCGTTCTGTAAATATAGAAAATGAAATAAAATCGGTCTGTGTGAAAAATTTGGTTAATTACGGTGACAGCACCTCGAAAAATTTTAACGGTGAGCATACATAATAATATTCGCGTTTATTTTATATTAACTCAAATATTTTAATTATTAAAATGTAATTCAGTAGATAAAGGTAATTCGGTTAAGGAAAGCAAGAGAAAAAATACTGATACAAAATTTTCTAATACTAGAGACAGCGACGATGAGCTTTGTAAGTTGAAATAAAAAAAAATGATAAATTGTATTATTACTATTATTATTATTATTATATCAGTGCTAGAAGCTGCAAATAAGATAGATGCAAATTCAATGGACGTTCAAGTGGTAACCGTTTATCCTGGTGATATCGAAAGTTGTTAGTATAAAATAATAAAAATAAAAAAACCAATAAATGTTATAGTCATATAATATTTTTTTAGGGATTGACCGGTTTTCAGAAGATATCGAGTTTGAGGATATTAGTAAGTCATAATTCAAAGTAATTAATTTTTAATAAATTTTTATCAAGTGGAATTTATAAAAAACTATATTATTAGGTCAAAATAACAAAACGATTGGAACTGGGATAGAACACGCGTATCACTCTAATCAATCAAAAACAAATAGTAAGATTATAATGTGAATTTGAATGATATAATACATAAATTAATTACGATATTAATTATATTTCAGGTGATTGTGTAAAAATTTCGCGTGCGAAAAAAGTTCAATCGATTTTTTCGGAGAACATCAATGTACATAGAATAGAAAACAGCAATCCATGCTCCATAAATGAATTTATCAAACAAAACAGTAATAGCATTTATGATGTATTTGAAAATGCTATAAGAACACATACAGCTGTGAAGACATCTTTAGATCTAGTTACTACGTATGAAAAAATAATTTTAANATATGAAAGAATAATTTTAAGCAATAATAATGTAAACACACCCGTTATTACTCAAACACTTAGTATTTCCCCATTTATTTTAACACCGTCGAGTAGTATCCCCGAGTGGGTTACTACTATTACACATCTACTACAAAAAAAGTCCGAAGAGGTAGAAACTCAAGGCAGTGGGTGGGTATTCAGAGGTGTTGTTTTCTTAGATATGAATACTTTCACGTATGATCCATTAAGGGGTGGGTGTCATTTTAATTTACCAAAAAAATTATTTCGAAAAAATGCAATTGTAAATATTAAATGTAGGGAGGAAGATTGCTTTTATTGGAGTATGGTTGCTAGTTTATTTCCGGTTCAATCGCGTAATGTGGATGCGACTAAACCAGAGTCGTATCCACATTATAATACAGTTTTGAATACTCGAGGTTTGCGAATACCTTTACTTCTAACCGACATAAGAAAATTTGAAGAAAAAAATGATATAAGTGTAAATGTTTACACTTACATCGGTGAAAAAATTACGGGTCCTCTACACTTGACCAGAAATAAACGTAGCAACCACGCAAATTTACTTTATTTAGATCAAAAAGACAAACCTTTCGGACATTTCTGTTGTATTTCGAACTTAGAGCGATTAGTTTCCGTTCAACTTTCAAAACATAAATCTCACAAATTTTTATGTGATGGCTGTCTATTATTCTTTTATTCAGAAGCAAAACTACTCACTCACCAACTCGAAAACTGCATGAAGGTTAAAACGGTTCTACCGAAACCCCCCAAACACATGGTTAAATTTCAAAATTTCCATATGCAATTCCCCGTGGAATTCGTAATTTATGCTGATTTTGAATCAATTCTAACACCTATTGCTACATGCGATCCTCAACCTGATATTTCTTATACCAATCAAATTAATATACACGATCCCCACAGTTTTTCATATCATATTAAATGTTCTTATGATGAAAATTTAGATCGCATGGAAGAGTACCGGGGGGATAATTGCGTGAAGATGTTTATTTCTAGGCTTAGGGAAGATATTATCCGTATAAGCGACATTTATTCTAACCCTATACCAATGGAAGCGTTATCTATTCAACAACAATATAATCACCATACAGCAACAACGTGTCATATTTGTAATGGTGAATTACGCTTCCATGATAAGGTAATGGATCACTGTCACTTAACGGGTAAATATCGTGGTGCGGCGCATAGAGATTGTAACCTGAAATGTTCGGTTCCATCTTTTATCCCCATAATTTTACATAATATGCAAAATTACGATTCTCATTTTATTATTTCGGAACTCGGTTTTGGTGATGATGACGAAGGAATTGAACCAATGAAAAATATATGTGTATAAAAAAAACTGTAAAAACGACAAATAACAACCGGATAACCATTAAATTATAGACTCATTAAATTTTTTACCATCATCATTGGAAAAATTAGCTGAAACTTTAATTCCTGAGCAATTTAAAATGACTAGGAAAATGCATTCTAATGATGAAAACTTTAAGTTAATGTGTCGTAAGGGAGTGTTCCCATATGAGTATGTAACTGATATGAATGTACTGAACGAATGCATGTTACCACCTAAAACNAAATGTACTGAACGACTGCATGTTACACCTAAAACCGCGTTCCGTAGTATATTAAATATGAGTGACATAACAGACGAGGATTACGCCCATGCAAAAAAAATCTGGGAGAAATTTAATTGTTCAACTTTGGGGGAGTATTCTGATATATATTTAAAAACTGATGTTTGTCTTNGTTTAAAAATTGATGTTTGTCTTTTTGCTGATATTTTCAAAAATTTCAGAAGTGTTTGTTTAAAAAATTATGGGCTTGATTCTTACCATTATGTTACTTCCCCGGGGTTAAGTTTCGACGCTATGAAGCGAATTACTGGGGTTAAATTGCAACTGATGACCGACATGGAGATGGTTAGCTTTATTAATAATGGGATTCAAAGGGGGAGTATCTCAATGTTCATCTCATTATAGTAAAGCTAATAATAAATATGTTGATGACTACGACCCGTCGAAGCCATCAACATATTTATTATATCTCGACGCTAACAATCTCTATGGTGCAGCACTTAGTCAACATCTTCCCTATGGAAATTTTGAATGGATGCCACAATCTGAGATTGACGTTTTAGACGTTTCGTCAATCGAGGACGATAGTGATTGGGGAGTAATCCTAGATGTAGATTTAAAGTATGGTGAGCATTTATATAATGATCATTCAGACCTTCTCTTATGCCTTGAAAACATTATACTCCCAGGTTCTAAATTTAAAAAACTAATTCCAAATTTATTCAATAAGAAAAACTATATTGTTCACTATCGAACGTTGAAACAGGCCACTAGCCTCGGTTTAAAAATTAAAAAAATCAATAAAGCATTGAAGTTTAAACAGTCGGCTTGGATGAAGGTTTATATAGATTTGAATACTAGAAAACGAACCGAATCCAAGTCGGCTTTTGAAATAGAGTTTTACAAATTAATGATAAATTGTATATTTGGAAAATGTTTAGAAAATCCAGAAAAAAGTATTGATGTTAAAATTGTCACAAAGTGCGAGAATATTGGAAGACGTTATGGGGCTAGTGTGTTGATAGCGAAACCCAACTTTGATAGTGTAACAATATTTAATGAAAATATGGCAGCCATCCATTTGAAAAAAGTGGAAATTGTATATGATAGACCTAGCTATGTAGGGTTTTCAGTTTTAGAAATTTCAAAGACAAAGACTATTTATAAAAAAATGTATGGCAACAAATGTAAATTAGTATATACGGATACCGACTCTCTATGTTATGAAATACAAACAGTAGATGTGTACGATGATGTTAAAAAAAATATTCATAAATTTGATACGTCAAATTATGACCCCAAAAGCGTGTACGGTATACCGCTTGTCAATAAAAAAGTAGTAGGATTAATGAAAGATGAAATGGGAGGACGAATTTTAAATAGTTACATTGGGATATGTAGTAAAACATATATGATGCGTATTGGGAATGACATTAAAAAAAAAATAAGGGATTAAAAATAGGGGTATTAAAGAAAACGATAAGCAAAAAAGATTATCTAGATTGTATTACTTTTCACAATAAAAAAATACTACGTAGCATGTATGTTTTTCGTTCACAC